GGATTTGATAATGCTTTCTTGAATATGACACCAAAAGCATAGGCAAAAAAGTAAAAACTGACAAATGGGAGTACATCAAACTTAAAATTTTTTATGCACCAAAGGACACGATCACCAAATTGAAAAAACCACCTACAGAATGAGAGAAAAGATATGTAAATCATAAGGGGTTAATATCCAGAATATATAAAGAACACCTAAAATTCAACAATGAAAACATCAAATAATGTGATTAGAAAATAGGCAAAGGACTTAAGGAGACATTTCGCTGAAGATGATCTACAGTTGGCCAGCAAGTATATGAAAAGATGCTCAACATCAGTAGTCACTGGGGAAATGCAAATCAAAACCACAATGAGGCCACATGCAGAAGAATGAAACTGGACCATTTCCTTACACCATACACAAAAATAATCCCAAAATGTATGAAAGACCTAAATGTGAGACAGGAATCCATCAAAATCCTAGAGGAGAACACAGGCAGCACCCTCTTTGACCTCAGCTGCAGCAACTTCTTGCTAGACATGTCTCCAAACGCAAGGGAAACAAAAGCAAAAATGAACTATTGGGACTTCATCAAGATAAAAAGCCTCTGCACAGCAAAGCAGTCAACAAAACTAAAAGGCAACGTACAGAATGGGAGAAGATATTTGCAAATGACATATCAGATAAAGGGCAAGTATCCAAGATCTATAAAGAACTTATCAAACTCAACACCCAAAAAACAAATAATCCAGTCAAAGAATGGGCAGAAAACACGAACAGACATTTCCCCAAAGAAGACGTACAAATGGCCAACAGGCACATGAAAAAATGCTCAGTTGGGGGGGGGGTGTCTGCTTCTCCCTCTCCCTCTGCCTGCCGCTCCTCCTGCTTGTACTCTGTCAAATTAATAAAATCTTAAAAAAAAAAAAAAAACACTAAAGTGAGTCTCCTATAGACAGCATCTTGTTGGATCCTCTATTTTTATCCATTCTGTCAACCTCTGTCTTTAGATTTAGGAATTTAATCCATTTAGGGGCTCCTGGATGGCTCAGTTGGTTGAAAGTGTGACTCTTGGTTTTGGCTCAGGTTGTGATTTCAGGGTCCTGAGATGGAGCCCCGCATTGGACTCTGAGCTCAGTTGGGAGTCTGCTTGAGATTTTCTCCCTCCCATACCCTGTGCCCCTCCCCGCCCCGCGGCCCCCGCCCCCCCCCACATGCATAAGCGTGCCCGCTCTCGCTAATAAACAATCATTTTTTAAAAAGGAATTTAATCCATTTATATTTAAAGTAACTACTGATGAGGAGGGACTTAACTCTCTCAAAATTAAAAATCTCTGTATATCAAAGGACATTACTAGACAAGATCGGGCACATTCAGGGTGGTAGGGCGTAGACCAAAGGACATTATCAGGAAAGTGAAATGACAAGCTACAGAAGGGGAGAAAATATTGGTAAATCAAATATCTAATAAAGGACTGATATCCTGAATATATAAAGATCCAGCTTAAAAGCAAAAAGACAAACAATTCAACTGAAAAATAGGCAAAGGACTTGATTAGATTATTTCTCCAAAGAAGATACACAGAGGACCAGTAAATACATGAACACCATTAGTCATCAGGGAAATGCAAATCAAACCACAAAGAGATACCACTTTACACCTGGCTAGGATGACTAGAAGTGAAAAAATAAAAAGTGTTGGAGACAGTATGGGAAAACTGGAACCCTTATTCACTGCTGGTGGAAATGTAAAATGCTGCTGTGGAAAACAGTCTAGAGTTCCACAAAAAGCACAGAATAGCCGTATGACTGAGCAATTCCACTCCACGGTATATATCCAAATGAACTGACAACAAGCACATAAATACTTGTATACCAATGATCACTGCAGTATTGTTCACAAATAGCCAAAAGATGGAAACAATCCAAGTGTCCATTGATGAATGGTTGAATGGACAAACAAAATGCGGTATATATACATATAATGGAATATTATTCAGCCTTAAAAGGAAGGAAATTCTGACACATGCTACAACATAGATGAACCTTGAACACATTATACTAATTGAAACAAATACAAAAGGGCAAATATCGAATTATTCAATTTATATGTGGTACCTAGAATAGACAAATTCATAGAGACAGAAAAATCCAACAGTGATTACCAGGGGCTGGGAGGAGGGGCAATGGATTTATCGTTTAATGGACAGAGTTTCACTTTGGGATGACGAAAAAGTTCTGAAGATAAATGGTGGTGAGAGTTATACAATGATGTGAATGTACTTAATGCCACTGAACTGTACAATTAAATATGGTTAATCAAATTTATGTTATGCATATTTTACCACAATAAAAATTTTAAAAACCAAAACATTATGTTAAGTGAAAGGAACCAGACACCGAAGGACAAATATTGTATGTTTCCATCTACTTGAGGTACCTAGAATTAAGCAATTCTAGAGAGACAAAGCAGATTAGAAGTTATCAGAGGAAGAGTGATGAAGGGGTAGTTTTTGCCTAGTGGTTACAAGAGTTCTGCTTGAGGTGATGAAAAAGTTTTAGGAACAGTTATCAGTGTTGGTTTGTTGTACAACACTGTGAATGAAATTAAGGCTACTAAATTGTACAACTGATTAAATGGCAAATTCTGTTATATATATATTACCACAATAAAAAATAATAAAGCTAGGTATATATACCTGCAAATAATATTAGCCAAAAACTTACTTTTGTCTGAATTAGAGCAAAATAAAACAAATGAGACCATAAGAGTTTCAGTGGTTAACCTGAATAATCTAGGTTGGGGGCCTACACTATTCAAATCTCTTGGAAAACTGTAAATTTCTCCCAATTTTTATTCAGTAAACCTAATATAAGGTAGTGCATATTTCCCACTTTTTCTAGGACTTGCTGTGCTTTTAAATCTCGAATGAATTTACCAAAAATTAATTTTGACTTGGACAGCCTTTGTGTTTTAAGACTAATGGACCTTGTCCCGGCTTTTACTATGTAAGCAGTTACACAATGTTACAAAGAAAATGTCTTAAATAAACGACACTGTAACCAAGATCATAAACTTTCAAAAGGGATGAAACAATGACTGTGATCCATTCATTTCTCTCTCAGTCCGGCAATAATCAAGTGAAATACTTCAAAGATACAAAGGAAATTTTGTAATGTCCCCTGGTGAAAGATTTCAGTCAGTTCATCTGTCCAAAGCATTATGTGGTAGGGAGGAAGCCTTTTGGTTCTTCCTTAAGTTCATTTACTAAGTATTATTGCAAAGAAGACAGAAAACTTATGTTTTAATACGGAAAAGAGAGAGGACAAATTAGTAACGGAAAATAAACTTCCAGATTACTAATACCATGCAAAGGACAGGGGTCAGATGGCAGAAAAGAAGAGAATGCGAAGAATGACAGGGAATAAAAATCTTTTTTTTTTTTTTTAAAGAATTTATTTATTTATTTGACGGAGAGAGACAGCGAAAGAGGGAATACAAGCAAGGGGAGTGGGAGAGGGAGAAATAGGCCTCCCGCTGAGCAGAGAGCCCGATGCAGGGCTCAATCCCAAGACCCTGGGATCACGAACCAAGCTGAAGGCAGACACCCAGTGACTGAGCCACACAGACACCCGGGAATAAAAATCTTAATGGGAAAACATTACACAAATTCTCTGTGAGTGGAAATCCCATAATGATGTAATAAAAATGTAACAATAGGGATATGCTAGAGACCACTAGGCTTAGAAAATAAAATCTAGAACATTAAGATTTTGGAAGCTGCAAAATTAAGCTGGGTGATGAAAAGAAGAAACTCTAGCCAAACAGATGGGCAGAATACCTCATCAAAATGAGATATGGAGATTGAAATTCTGGACAGGACAAAATCCACTTTCTTTTTTTTTTTTTTTGAAGATTTTATTTATTTATCTGAGAGAGAGAGAATGAGAGACAGAGAGCAGGAGAGGGAGGAGGGTCAGAGGGAGAAGCAGACCCCCCGCTGAGCAGGGAGCCTGATGTGGGACTCCATCCCGGGACTCCAGGATCATGACCTGAGCCGAAGGCAGTTGCTTAACCAACTGAACCACCCAAGCGCCCCCAAAATCCACTTTCTAAAAGACAGTCTGACAAGGCAGAAAAAGATGACAGACCTGAGTGGTGAACAGGAGGAAATGGTGTAGGTCCACAGGTATTCATTCGCGTTTAGATTAGAAAGAGGGGAATAAAGAAGGTGTCATCTAGGAGAGGCTAACTTGATCGCTGCCAGAAAGGCTGTAACCTTGGCAGTCACCATTGCCCAGGGGTCAAATCTCAGGTCTTCAGTTCCAAACATAACTTATCCCCACCAGATTAAATCCCACTGCCATAGATTTTCACAATTCCTTAGGTACCTTCATAGTATTCACTTATGACAACTGCCATTATTTATTTGATGTCTTTGTTCACCTGCTAGACTATAAACTCCATAAGAACAGCAACTGTGGTTGTCTTTTTCATGGCTGTATTCCAGAACATAGCATGCCTGGAACATAGTGAGATCTAAGAGAGCTCACTCTGCCCTCCTTCCCTCCTGTTTGCCCCCCACCTCTCATGCCCACATGCAAAATAAATAAATGAAAGTCAGTTTGTTCATCAGAGCATCTCACCTGGACAGTACTGGAGGTTAGATTTTGCCTCATTTTATTTCTAGCTTTCCCTAGGACTAACCACTTGTAACTACTCAAGGAAAGAAAGTATTCTTGGGGCGGCTCAGTCGGTTAAGCATCTGCCTTCGGCTCAGCTCATGATCCCAGAGACCTGGGATCGATCCCCACGTCACGTTCCCTGCTCAGCGGGGAGTCTGTTTCTCCCTCTGCCTCCCCCTGCTCACGCCGGTGCGCTCTCTCTCTAATAAATAAAATCTTAAAAAAAAAAAAAGTATTCTTCCTATAGATTTGTTAATTTCACAAGCTAGATGACAATCAAATTACACTTTATTTTCACCAGCCTTAGAGAAATCCAGTAAGAATTGTTATTAGTCAGGCTCTGAAGCTTTTAGGGGTACCGTCAGTACCCTGATATCAAACAGAGCCTGTGTTGTCTTTCTTGCATGACAATTACTTGTGCACAGATCTCATTCTCCCTCACAAGTCCAAGACATCTAATTCACCTTTACGTGTTCAGAGCATCTGTCACTTAAGCACTCAAAATATGCTCCAGGGAACAAGTAAATTTTATTATTAATAAAAATAACTTCAATCAATCATTCAATGGCCCCTAACACTGAGCTCTTTATGCCAGGTACCATAAGACTTTATATGCATTATCTATATTAATTGTCCTAACACCTCTGTGGAGTAGGTACAATTATCTCTATTTTATAGATGGGAAAGGGCCTTTACAGAGCTATTTGCCCAAGGTTATACAACTATTAGGTGGTAAAGTGGTAACCTGAACCAGACATTTGGACCCCAAAGCCAGCACCCAGACATTAGAATTGTATTTCATCTAGACAAGGAACCAAATTTTCTTTAAAAAACACTACTAAGTGGGTCCTGTGTGGCTGTCAGTTAAGCAGCCAACTCATGGATTTTGGCTCAGGTCCTGATCTCAGGGTGTGGGATTGTGCCCCGCCTCAGGCTCCCGGCAGTCTGCTTGAGATTCTCTCTCCCTCTGCCCCTCCCCCCATTTGTGAGCACGCTCTCTCTCCCCCTAAATAAATAAAATATATTTTTATTTTATTTATTTGAGAGAGAGAGAGAGATTGAGAGAACAAGTAGGAGGAAGGGCAAAGAGAGAAGCAGACTCTCTGCGGAGCAGGGAGCCCATCTCGGGACTCGATCCCAGCACTCTGGGATCATTACCTGAGCGGAAGGCAGACACTTAACTGAAAGAACCACCCAGGCACCCAGTATACAAAATCTTAGAAAACAAACAAACCAACAAACAAAATCCCACTATTAAGAAAATGAAAAGGCAAAATACAGACTGGGAGAAAAAAGTCACAATACATATAAGATTGACCCTTAAACAATGTGGGGGTTGGGGTGCCACTGAACCCCATCCTCTACACACAGCTGAAAATCTGTATATAATTTTGGACTCCCCAAATATCTAACTACTATTAGCCTCCTCTTTACCGGAAGCCTTACCAATAAAATAGTCAACACATACTTTCTATGTTATATGTATTATACTGTGTTCTTAGAATAAAGTAAGCTAGAGAACAGAAAATGTTATTAAGAAGATCATGGGGTGCCTGGCTGGCTCAGTTGGCAGAGCATGTGACTCTTGATCTCAGGGTCAGGAGTTCAAGCCCTACGTTGGGCGCGGAGCCTACTTAAAGAAAAAAAAGAAGATCATAAGGAAGAAAAAATACTATATTGAAAAAAAATCCATGTGTAAATGGACCTGTGCAGTTCAAACCTGTTATTCAAGGGTCAACTATATCTGAAAGGACTTGCATCTAGAATGTATGAAGAATGTTTTCAAGTCAATAAGAAAACAATTCAATTATAAATGGCTAAGATAAAACAGACACTTTACAAAAATCCGTACAAATGGCCAGTCATACCATGATGATACTCAGTATCACTAGTCATCAAGGAAAATAAGTTAAAACCATAATTTATATACCAGCACACACCCATTAGAATGGTTAAAAATACAATGACAGATACTGTGTGTCAAGGAGGGTGTGGAGAAACCGGAAAACCATATATTGCTGGTGGGAGTATAAAATGGTACAGACACTTTGAGAAAAGGCCTGAGAGTGCTTAAAAAGTTAAAAAAAAAAAAAAAAAGTATGACCCAGAAATCTCACTCCTAGGTATTTAACCAAGAGGAATGAAAACATATGTCCACACACAGATTTGTACATGAACGTTCACAGCAGTTTTATTCATAATAGCCAAAAAATGGAAAACAATGTAAATGTCGATCAACAGGTGAACAGATAAATTTCAGTTCAATCATACAATGAAATAAATACATAAAATTAAAATAAGTAAAAGAAAATAAATAAAAAGCAACAGGAACAAACTGCTGATACATAGGAAAAAAACAAAGACAAGTCTCAGATACGTGAAGCCAAAGACACTAGACACAAAAAAGTGATACCGTTGTTCTATAGTGTCAGAAATAGGGCGCTTGGGTAGCTCAGTCAGTTGAGCGTGTGACTCTTGATTTTTGCTCAGGTCATGATCTCAGGGTCGCGGGATCAATCCCCGAGACGGGCTCCCTGCTCATCGAAGAGTCTGCTTGAGATTCTCTCCCTCTCCCTCTACGCCCCGACCCCATGAAATAAATAAATCTTAAAAAGAAAAGGGATGGGTTGTTAGAAGTTAAAAGAAAATTACAGGTAAAGCACGCAGAATAATAAACACCCAGTAAATACTATTTGTACTACTAAAACAAATCAATGAATAGATACTATAATTCAATTAAGGAGTACTATGATGGGGTGCCTGGCTGGCTCAGTCAGAGGAGCCTACAACTCGTGATCTCAAGAGTTGGGAGTTCAAGCTCCGTATTGTGTGATTACTAAAAAAAACAAAATCAAAACAAAACAAAAGGAATACTATAATTCTATTTCCATATTTATTTGTACACATTTGTATATATTGGTATATACATGAAAGATGTAGAAAGATCCAAACAAATCCTTGGGATAGAGTTTTACTTTCTTCCATCCTGTATTGCTTTTCCCTCCAACCTATTCCTGACTTCTAGGCCAAAGTAATCTGCTAGAAAAGCAAAGTGCTTTAGTATCACTCCCACCTTAAAAGGCTTCAGTGGTTCTCTAATACATTTAGGATCAAATCCATACGACCTACCCTGCCTTCCCCGGCCTGGCTCCCACCAAGCTCTCTGGCCATTCTTGACCTTCACTGACTATACCACATCCACAGCTGCTTTCAGTCCCACTGATGGGCCAAACTCTTGCTTGACTCTGCAAATGCCGTCAGAATGCACTTTTCTCTAGTCTTCCTGAAGCTAGTTCCTTCTCCTTAGCTCAAATAAAAGTCATCTCACAGCAGCTTTCCAGATCACTCTTATTAAAGTAGATCTTGATTCAGTCGGTAGAGCATGCGACTCGATCTCAGGGTTGAGATCAAGCCCCAAATTTTTATTAAAAAAAAAAAAAATTGGGGGGGCGCCTGGGTAGCTCAGATGGTTAAGCGTCTGCCTTCGGCTCAGGTCATGATCCCAGGGTCCTGGGATCGAGCCCCGCATCAGGCTCCCTGCTCAGCGGGAGGCCTGCTTCTCCCCCTGCTCATGTTCTCTCTCTCTCTCTGTATCTCTGTCTCAAATGAGTAAATTAAAAAAATCTTAAAAAAAAACAAAATTGGGGCACCTGGGTGGCTCAGTTGTTAAGCGTCTGCCTTCGACTCAGGTCATGATCCCAGCATTCTGGGATCAAGCCCCGCATCGGGCTCCCTGCTCGGCGGGAAGCCTGCTTCTCCCTCTCTCACTCCCCCTGCTTGTGTTCCCTCTCTCGCTGTCTCTCTCTCTGAAATAAATAAATAAAATCTTAAAAAAAAAAATACATCAAACCCTCATTTTTCTTTCTCTACTCCTGTTTTGTTTCCTTCGCAGAAAGCACCATCATTGATCATTTTTCTGCTTTTGTTTTCTATTTTCTTCCCTCGAAGAGTAGGTTCAAAAGGACCGGATCATGTTTTTATATGCCACCAGGGTCTAGTACCACAGCACTAGATAGCACCTAACAAATACCTGTTGAATGCTATCCCATTTGTGAGGCAAGCCCTATAGTAATATTCCCACTTATGCCCACAGTCACTAAAAAGTACCTAGAAAACTTTAAAATATCACAATGTGTTATTTTAAATTATTCTTTTCAGAAATGGTTATTTAAACATAAGATAATGGCTTCCAAACTTCTCTCAACAGTAAGAAAATTACAATAGTAACTGAAACAAAGGTTCACAAAATCATACTTACCCTTGCTAAGGGAGCTGCCCTTTGATATTTTCTAGTCCATGTCGTAAGACAGTATAACCATTTTTATGTGCTTTTTCTAAACTATTAAAGTGGAAAGACAATGATGAATGATGTGTACTGCTGCAAGGTTTTGGTTTTTCATTCATGATTTCAATGAATTAAATCAATACCACTAATTCGAAAATGCAAAATTAACATTAGGGGAAAGGTAATTCAATTACCTTACCAATTCAAAATTATCACATTCAAACTCTAGAATAACATTATAACCATATTCATTAAAAAAAAAAAGCAACCTACAGACACAGGATTTTCAGATTAGGAACCCCTTTCTAAGGAGGAACCCCAAAGTGATTTCAGATTGTAAAGAGAAGAATGAGAACTGGCGTAGGTCTTCCCATCTCATCTAATAGCAATTCTATTCCTCCTGACCTATAGGCCAAAAACCTTGGTGCCATTTTTTATTTCTCTCACTCCTCAAATCCAATGCATCATTAAATCCTATTGGCTCTACCATCAAAACATATCCAGGGGCGCCTCTTGGTTGGCTGGTTAAGGGATGAACTCTTGGTTTCAGCTCAGGGCATGATTTCAGGGTTGCAAGTTCAAATCCCACATCGTGCTCTGCTTAAGACTCTCTTGCCCTCTGCCCCTGCCATCCCCTCTCTCCCCCCCCACCAGAATAAATAAATCTTGGGAAAAACAAAACAAAACACACATCCAAAATCTGATACTTCTCTGATCCTGGAGTCCCGGGATCGAGTCCCACATCGGGCTCCCTGCTCAGCAAGGAGTCTGCTTCTCCCTCTGACCCTCCTTTCTCTCATGCTCTCTGTCTCTCATTCTCTCTCTCAAATAAATAAAATCTTAAAAAAAAAAAAAATTCAAAATCTGATACTTCTCACCACCTCTCACTGCCACCAGCCTGGTCCAAGTCACCACCACCTCTTGCCCAAATTACTACAACAGCCTCCTATAACTAGGCTCCTCAATTCTCCCTTTGCCCTCCTCCAGTCTCTTTTAAACCATGCAGAGAGTGGTACTATTAAATCATTAAGTCACATCATTACACTCCCCTGCTCCAGCGTGGGTTCCTAGCCTACACAAAGTCAAAACCCTTCCTAAAGCCTGCAGAATTATACTTGATCTGCCCT